GTGTGGAAATAGACACGTAGGGCAAGGAACAGGCCATGGTTTCCAGAGAAAGTGATTGATTGATGTGAGGCCTGGGTTTAGGCCATGGAAAGGATTCCGGGAATAGAACTGGAGTTCGGAGCCCCGAGAGGGCTAGAACAAACTGCATGAGAGAGATTCTAGGGAAGAAGGGATCAGGGTGATGTGCGACAGTCTTTGAGCGGTCCGGATAGACTGAAGGCCGGTGGGCGTACCAGTCAGGCTGAAGGCTCGGGGAACGGTCCAGATAGGCTGAAGGCCCAGGAGGGCGGTCCAGACATGCTGAAGGTTTTGAGAGTGGTCCAGATAGGCTGAAGGCCTGGAAAGACGGTCCAGTCATGCTGAAGACTCTGTATGTGATAGTGGATCGATATGAGGAGAATGAGTAAATATGTCGCCATGCAATAGTAATCGATATGGTCTGGCCCCAAGTATTGATCATGATGATGGAGATGGTTGGAGGCCGTGTGTGGGCCTTGTTAGTTATGTGATCGAATTCAGAGTATATGGGAGTTCGAGAATAGCGGTTGCTCTACATGGATAGTGTAGAGTGGAGTTTAGCTCGGTAGCACTTATAGGTGCGGTAAGGATTGTTGAGTAGACTTCCTGGAGAGGGAAGGTATGTAACTCCGGAAGGAGTGTGGGTCCTATGAGAGGAAGGAAGCAGAGTAAATGGGTGATCGAAAGTGTTTGGTAGCAAGCACTGGGATTGTACCAGATATATGGAAGCACATACGGGTTGGATGCCCGTTGAGGTTGTGGCAATGTTGGATGATGCGCATGCATGTTTTCGGTCTCCTTGGAAGAGGAGAAGGGAAGGGATTCCCGATTGGAGAATAGGACGGAGGAAGGTGAGACAGCAGGTTAACAGACTCGAGAGTAGTCTGGACCGGTGCTGAGGACTGCATAAGGATATTACAGTCGGAGGTCAAGGACCTAGAGATCGTGATAGGGACGTGGGAGTGGATTGCACTCCGTTGTGTCGAACTGAAGGGTTCGAGGGTGACGCAAGGACAAGGTCCTTGGTTCCGAGTATGGTTGTAGGCTTGAGTTGTGTATGAGGAGGTATTTCAATCTGGGGTATTCCATCACGAGGATGACCGGACCCTATGATTGATTGGGCCTGGTGTGTTGGTATTCCAGCCAGAGGCTGATTAGGCCAGGTACGAGTGGTTACGCGATATGATTGGTTGATGGGTTACGGGAGCTGAAGGATGTAGTGTCCTGTCAGCACGTAAGGGATAGCAGTTTGGTACCGGGTCAGGACCCGGTGGTACATGGTGATATCCAAATCTGTAAGGGGCAAGTGAGTGGGTAAGCTGGAATGATGGAAGTATCATTGGGTGATACTTAGTTGATGTGGACATCATTAAAAAGAGAAACTGGTGGCTGGTTTGAAGCAGTTGTCGTGACTCTGTGAGGGGAGAGTTGGACTTCATAGGGTTTGACAGCAGTATTGGAGGAACCTGAGTCGGTTGATACCAGGAGATGCGTTGTGGGAATAGTATCTGGAATTGTGTGCTGCAGCAGGCTTCGAGGACGAAGCCTAATTGAAGTTGGGGAGAATTGTAACATCCTAACTTCCAGAGCAAGAGATCGGGGGTGTAAAGTGTAAATGGAGGTTTGGACTCGGCGAGTTGAAAAGGTAACTCGGCGAGTCGAGTCGCGAGTGGATCGCGTGAATAAGTGACCCGACTCGGCGAGTCGGGGCTAGACTCGGCGAGTCGGTGCTGGAATATGAAACCCTATTTTCAGGGTTTGGACCCTATTTAAAGAATATTATGCCTTTATTTCAGCCTCTATCTTCCCTGAGTGTTCCAGAGAAAACCCTAAATCGTGAGAGACTCCATTGTTAAGAAGAGTGAAGCTTGGAAGAAGAAATTGGTGAAGAGAAGTTGGAGGAATTTGAGGATAGCATCAAGAGGGCTTGTGGATCTGAAGTCTACATCAGTTTAGACTCATCTTTAGGGTAAGAAGTCACCTCCTTAAGCCTTTTTCCTTATTGTCATCCATGGTGGTTGTTTTGGGGATTCTTTAGCATGATTGAGATCTATTTTGGGTATAGAGACTAGATCTGAGGTTGCAACTTCAGATCTAGGTTGTATTAGAGCCATGAGGGCAAAAAGCATCATCCATGGGGCTTGATTGAGAGTGCCTTTGTCCTAAAACCTTCTTGTAGCTTGGTTGGAGCTTGTTGAGCCTTGCATGCACGTAAAGTTGGAAACTTTACGTGTGAATCTGGCCCTAAGAGTCTAGATCTATGTATTGGAAGCAATGAAATGGCCTGAAATCGTCTGAATGAAGATGTCACGTTTGGACTCGACGAGTTGGAAGAACAAGTCGGCGAGTCTGGTAGTGGAACCCTAGCCTTTCCTGGTTTAGCCGTGTCTCGGTGAGTGAGGGACAACTCGGTGAGTTGATCAGGATGAGACTCGAAGATTGTTGGACTCGGCGAGTTGAGTCGTGAATGGGAGTTTCTGAGTAAAGGAACTCGACGAGTCGACGGGTTGACTCGGCGAGTAGGGTCAACCAGGAAGGTTGACTTTGACTGAGGACTTTGACTTTGACCAAGGGTTGACCAGTTTGACTTCCAAGGGTATTCTGGTAATTATTGGTATTTATTGGATTTGGTTATTTGGTAGTGTTCAGTGGTGGAGTTCGTGTCGGTGGTCGGAGCATCGTGATCTTATTTCTTCAGTCGGCAGTTGCAGGTGAGTTATCCTCACTATATCGATAGGGTCTACGGCACCAAGGCCGGCCCTTTATCGGATGGAAATCCGGGTATTATTTGTTATGTTATTGTTTTTCTAGATCCGCATCCTGGTATTTAGGATGGTGTTATGTTAGTGACCTGGTTAAGGTCGGTACCTGGGATATAGGGTAATGTTATGCTAGTGACCGGTTAGGTCGGAATCCTGGTTAGGATGTTGATATGCTATGTGAACTATTAGACTATTTGTCTGGTTGAGGATTGTTATGTGATTAATTGTTTTATGTGCACATGGTTGTTTGACGGGGGTTGGGTTGAGGCGGGTCCTGCTTTGTGCTGTAGGCCAACATACCCAGGGCGGACCGGATACTCCGAAGGCCCAGCGAGCGGTCCGGATAGGCTGAAGGCCCCGAGAGGGCGGACTAGACGTGCCGAGGCTCGGAGAGTGGACCAGGCCGACTGAAGGCCCGGTATGGGCGGACCAATCATACTGTAGACTCAGAGAGTGGACCAGGTGGATTGAAGACCCGGTGCGGGTAACTCACTAAGCTTTCGGGCTTACAGTTGTAGTGTTGTGAGTATGTTTATGTATGGTTGGTATTTTGGGGGTAACTCACTAAGCTTTCGGGCTTACAGTTGTAGTGTTGTGTTTCAGGTACTTCAGGAGATCGTGGCAAGGCGAAGGCGTGATCGTACCGCTCCTCATGTTTTATGACTCATGTGATATGGTTCTGGTGGATACTCTGATGTTTAAACTATTTTGAAAACAAAATGTATGAACTTAATGGTTTTTGAATGAAGTAAAATGTTTTAATTTGGCTCAATTTTTATGGACGTTACAATTTTACTTAATTTTCCTTCTTTCTTTTAGATCCAACAATACCATCAAAATGTGATCATCACATAAGGGACTAAGAGTCTATGAATAGGAACTTATAATGGAGTTAGATAATGGAGGCACCCGAAGTAGAGTCACATGAATTGACTTTACCATATTCAAGTTCCTTCAGGTAGTTTGGTCATCTTTGCTTCCAATGTCCATTCAATTAGCAGTAGAAACAAAGGGACTCACTGGGGTCAACTAGGGGAACGATCTTAGAATCAACCTTTCTCTTTACCATATGATCAAACAGTTTGACCTAGCCGATCCCTTTCAATTCGGAGAAGAAACCTTTTCTTGATTATAAATGTCACCATTGTTAGTGTCCATGTAAACCTTGAGGTTAGACTCTATATGCATTTATTCTTCAGTTGTGTTCTTAAGCCTTTTTGCTTCAGCAACTATCAACATCTCGGTCAGACAAGTTAAGGTCACATCGAGATTCCTCACATGAGATTTCTCAATGAACTTACCATATAACTTAGGAAGCGAGATAAGAACCAAATCAATGGCTTTCTCCTTCGGGAATACGACACCTATTGCTTCCAATTTGTCAATGTACAATTTCATGTTTAGAACATGCGCACACACAAAATTTCCATTTTCGTGTTTACATGTACATATGGCTTGAGTAGTTTCATATATTTCAACTTGAGGAAAATGTGACGTTGGGAGAGTCACATGAGGAGGAGGTGGAAGAGTTGAAGGAGGATGATGTCCAATTCCACCATTACACAAAGAAGGGATTTTCACCTTGATCAGAATGTGGAAGACCATCTCAGAAGATTGAGCAAAACCATTTCTATAAGAACAAGGAATACCATTTCTATCTTGATTAGACATCTAAAATTAGGAGAAGAGAGAATTCAAGTTAGTTGATTTTTGTTAGTTAGCCCATGGGCCCATAGGGTTTCCTTTGTCTAGGGATCTTGCCTCTATATATTGTTTGTACAGCGTCCTTGTAAAATATATAAAATTAATAAGGTATTTTCACCCTCAATTTATTTTTGCTTACATGGTATCAAAGCGAGTTTAGGGTTGGAGGGTTTTTTGTGTTAAGCAACGGTCGACATCACTGTTCATCTACACTGTTTATCGGTACTGTTTTTTATTAGAATAATATTCATCGGCCACGATTCTAATTAGAGTACTGTTCATGGGGTACTATTTATTCGCACTGTTCACATGCTACTATTCTAGCTAGAATATTGTTCACGGGGGGGGGGGGGTACTGTTCATTGATACCGTTCACGGGGTACTGTTCACGGTTCTAAGTTTTCTGATTAGGGAACCCTATGAGTGTTCTATTTCTGAGTTTTTTTTCAATTTGGGCACCCTGTGACTGCACTGGTTCTTTTATCGACGTCGTCTAATCATTAGAGAGATTAGAAAATGACTACGAATTGTCAAGAAATTCCTATTTGTGGTTATGTTTCTGCAATTACGCATGAAATTCCTACCTTTGGTTCTACTTCTTGTTTTGGTTCTTTTATTGTTATTGCAAAAGAGAATGCTCGATTTTTTGGATATGAGAATTTACATTCGCCTGTGGCCTCTTTTGTTGAGATGGACGGCTGTACTAAATGTTTGTTATCTTCTACCTCCAAATGGGTTACTGATTCAGGTGCTTCGGATCACATGACAGGTAATCATCATCTCCTGTCTGATTTTCGTACTCATACATCGACATCCCATGTTACCATTTTTGATGGGTCTACCCCACAAGTTCTAGAATTTGGCACAGTTGATCTTGGCCCATCTATTTCATTATCTTCAGTGTTGAGCCTCCCTAATTTCTAATTTAATTTTCTACCAGTCAGTAAAATTACTCGTGGATTGAAATGTAGTGTCACATTTTTCCCTGATTATTGTGTCATTCAAGATCGTTCAACAAAACGAATAATCGGTAAAGGATGAGAATCCGATGAACTTTATATATTTGAACCCGAGATACCAAAATCCAGAGTAGGATTGATGTCATTATCTCCGTTTGAATTACATTATTGTTTAGGCCACCCATCTCTTCAAAGTTTGAAGAAATAATATCTCTAATTTAGTCATTTATCATCCATAACTTGTGATTCCTGTCAATTTGCAAAACATCAGCGTGTTCACTTGAGACCTAGAACTAGTAAACGGGTTGCATCCTCATTTGAATTGGTTCACTTTGATGTATGGGGTCCTTATATTAGTAGTTCTAAAACCGGGTTCAAGTATTTTGTGACTTTTGTGGATGATGATTCCCGTGTTACTTGGTTATATTTGATGAAAAATCACTCTGAGGTATTCAACTATTTTTGTTCATTTCTTGCTAAGATTAAAACACAATTTAGTGGCTCTGTGAAAAGTTTATGTAGTGATAATGCAAAAGAATACACCTATAGAATCTTTCGATTATACATGCTTCAGCAAGGCGTTATCCATGAATCTTCTTTCGTTGATACACCTGCTCAAAATGGCGTTGACGAACAAAAAAATCGTCACCTTCTTGAAGTACGTCGAGCACTATTATTTCAGATGAATGTTCCAAAAACATTTTGGGCTGATGCAATCTCTACTACTTGTTTTCTCATCAACCGTATGCCATCTGCAGTTCTTGGTGGTGATATTCCTTTTTTGTTTTGTTTCCTAATAAACATCTATTCCCTATTGAACCAAAAATATTTGGTTGTAGTTGTTTTGTTCGGGATTATCGACCTCAGATCAACAAACTAGATCCGAAGTCCCTGAAGTGTAGTTTCCTTGGATATTCTCGCCTTCAGAAAGGTTATAGGTGTTTTCTCCTACACTCGATCATTATACAAATTCACGAGATGTTAGTTCTCTAAAGAAAGTACCCTACTTTCCGGTGACCAACACCCGTGATGACGGAGACAATGATGATTTGTTGGTATTCAATATACCTATTTCTGACTCGACTGTAGAGTCTCCCATGTCATCCAACTCTGAATAGCCATCAGAGCCTGCTACACCGCCAGTAATTCATATGTATAGTAGGCAAGAACGACCTACATTAGCTCCTAATCTAATACCATCTTCACCTGCAGGTCCAAATGCTAATGATCCTCCTATTTTGAGCAATCCACTATCTTCCGATACATAGGATCCTGACCTTGATGGTCACATTGCCTTAAGGAAAGGGAAGCATTCATGTACTTACCCTATATCCTATTTTGTTTCTTATGGTAAATTATCTTCAACTTCACGAGCGATGATCTTTACACATGATAATATATTTATTCCTAAAACGGTTGGTGAAGCTTTGATAAATTCATGATGGTAGGATGCTATGATTGATGAGATCAATGCTCTTGATCATAATAATACATGCGATTTGCTAGACTTACCTGCGAATAAAAAGGCAAGAGGTTGCAAATGGGTATTCACCGTGAAAGTTAATCCAGAAGGATCTGTAGCTCGTTTGAAGGCACAATTGGTTGCTAAAGGATATGCTCAGACTTATTGGGCAGACTACTCCGAGACATTTTCTACTGTAGCTAAGGTATCTTCCATCCGATTATTCATTTCATTAGTTTCTACTTATGATTGGTGCCTTCATCAACTGGATGTGAAGAATGCCTTCTTGTATGGTGATTTACATGAGGAAGTTTATATGGAGCAACCACCAAGGTTTGTTGCTCAAGGGGGGTATGGCAGAGTTTGTAAATTGCGTAAATCATTATATGGTTTAAAGCAATCCCCTCGGGCCTGGTTTAGACAGTTTAGTGTTGTGGTGACACAATTTGGCTTACGAAGAAGCTCTTATGATCATTTTGTGTTCTTTGCTTCATCATCTTCCGAATGCATTCTGTTAGTGGTATTTGTCGAGGACATTGTGATTACTGGGAGTGATGCAATTGGGATCAAGAAGCTTAACGATTTCCTTGCATTTCAGTTTCAAACAAAGGACCTAGGTCCTTTAAAATATTTTTTGGGAATTGAAGTATCTCGTACTCGAAAAGGGAACTATGTTTGTCAAAGGAAATATTGTTTTGACATTTTCAAGGATTCCGGGATGATTGAAACAAAAAATTGTGAGTCTCCAATGATTCCAAATATGAAATTGAAAGTAGACGAAGGAGATCCGCTTGAGAACCCAGAGAAATATAGAAGAGTTGTAGGAAAATTAAACTACTTGACGATTACACGTCCATACATTGCTTTTCTGGTAAGTGTTGTAAGTCAGTTTATGTCATCTCCACGAACCTCTCATTGGAATGCAGTTAGTCATATTCTGAAGTACCTAAAGGTTACTCCTCGTCATGGCATTCTATATCAAAATCACGGTCATCATGTCATCGAAGGGTTCACCGATGCCAACTACAATGAGGATCCTATAAATAGACGGTTTACTACACGATATTGTGTGTTTGTTAGAGGGAATCTAGTTTCATGGAAAAGTAAGAAACAAAATGTCGTTTCACGATCAAGAGCTGAATCTAAATATCGGGCTATGTCTCAGACTACATGTGAGCTGATATGGGTACGAAATCTGTTGGATGAACTTGGTTTTGCTCAATCAAAAGCAATAAACTTGTATTGCGATAATGAGGTGGCTATCCATATTGCAAACAATCATGTGTTTCATGGAAGGACTAAACATATCGAAGGAGACTACCATTTCACAGTTGAAAAGCTAGAAGATGGGACAATCTCCACTCCCGATGTTCGAACAGGAAGTCAACTAGCTGATATCTTCACCAAAGCTTTAACTGGTTCATAGATCTCTGCCATTTGTAACAAGCAGGGCATGATTAACATCTATGATCCAGCTTGAGGGGGAGTGTTAGAATGTAATTTCATATATTAGTTTTAGTTCTGGTTAGCCCATGGGCCTGTATGGTTTCCTTTGTCTAAGGATCCTGCCTCTATATATTGTCTGTACAGCCTCCTTGTAAAATATATAAAATTAATAAGGTATTTCTACTCTCAATTTATTCATGCTTACAGTTTTAATCCATAATTATTAACCCAAATTTAAATTAAGGCTAGGATCCATATTTTCATTTCTTAATATAAAGAGGGATGTCGTAGTCATATCACGAAACTATTTTAGGTAGGTAGAAACATTTCACCAATTTCAATCACATGAAACTCTTAGATCTTTTGAGATTTTCATTAAAACGTCAATGACATGTTTTAACTCGGATTATGCTCTTATCGATTGTGACTGGACAATTAAGATGTGAATAACCATGCAAACCCGCTCAAACACCATCTATCAATTTATAATCTCATATTGATGTGCCGATTAACCACACATGATCCATCAACAATTATTAACGCGATTCGTTTCATCATTTCATCTTTATAGTCCCACATTAGTGTGTCAGTTAACCACACACGGTCCACTAACGACTCATAAAGAAACGATGTGCGTTTTCATAGATTGGCATACAACTTCACATTTTTTCTAAAATAACTAGACTGAGAATTTTAGAGAAATGTCTACTACTTTATATCATTATACTTTTAATGAGATTATGTACTATCAAACCCGTTCATCTAACGAATCTCCACCACACAAAGAAGTGGTAGGTGAACAGGACACACATTCAACGGTCATTTTATAGGCCGTTTCCTTATACCTCTCTTTAAGCATGGCTTCGTGAATGAGGCCTACTATTAATTTGGCTGACTTTTAGTTATACATATAGTAATAAACATCTTATATATGTATAGGGTGTTTTTTTAAAAAGTTTTTAAAAGACAAGGTTTAAATATTAACTATCTAAATTAATCATATAATTAATTAATTAATTTAAACCTAACATAGATTTTATAATTATCTTTTGTTTAATCTTATAATTAAATGTATTATTCAATCCATTAGGATAATTCAATTTAATTAATCTTATAATTAAAAATTATATTTTCCATGATTATCTCCTAATATTTAGGCTTTTATATTTAATCATATAAGGCATTCAAAATTTGAATATCAGCAGAATCAAAACCGGATAATCACTAAAAATCATACTAATCAGATTAGGCAGATCGGGGCACAAAAATCGAAAAAACCGAAAGGCGTCGCAGCTAGGCGCTCCACATCTTTTGGAAAAAAAAATTGTTCGATCAATTTATGTACAATCAATGTTAGACACGCCAAGGCTCTGATACCACTGATAGGTTTATATGTTACAAAAACTATTTGCTTGCGGAAAGTCTCTAAACACTTAAGGGCACATGCAACCTAGAGGGTCTATGTCATAACACTTTGAGGGTAACATACAAGGAACAACAAAACTAAGAAGAACCCTAATGTAATCGAAAACACCAAGTCAGGGTTAAATACCTTTAATTTGTTGTAGTAAACAAGTCACTGCAATTCCTTGTAGTTGTTTGTCTTGAAAAGCTTAGCACCAAAAGGATGATGCATGTAATGGCTCATACCAAAACCCTAGAACTAGAAGAAAAGAGAGGAGAGAGAGGAGTGCAAGAGAAATCAGAATTTTCTACGTACAAGAGTAGTAAAAAATAGCTGACCCAAGGATGTTATTTATAGCTGCTTGGAAACCCTAGAAACACAAAATTTGAACATATAATAATAATATCTCCAATCAGATATTTATCTACTTTCCTAATTATCATTTGGAGGCTTCTAGAAACCCTAATAGGGCATCAAAAACCACCCATATGATGGAGGCTTCTAGATCCTCTATTTTGTTCAACTATTGAACAATTACAGCTCAACCCTTGCACCTTTAATTAATTCTAATTAATCATGACATATTTCTGGATTAATTATGATTAATAATTAATTATTTCTTATTGATTTCATATTAATTTATTAATCATAT